CCTTGCAGTTCAAACCAGCTTTGCAGTCCGTGCATTATCTTAGAGTGCCACACCAAGACTCTAGATTTCACCAGTAAAGTCTTTCAATTGATTGAATGAGACCCTTCCAGATTATCAAGGATAATCTCTTATATTAAAGCAAACTGGTTGTAGATATCAGTCATATTTACAAAATATTTTCATAGCAACACCTACATTCCTGTTTGATTGAATAATAAAAGATTATAGTTAAGGAGAGGCAGATTACTTCTGAATGTTTAGCCACTGGTTTTCTGATTCCAGATCTTTGCACATTTTGTTGTAATATTTGGCTTTATTTTTTCAAGCTGGTCTTTGAAATTTTCTGTTCAGCTCTTGGACTTCCTCATTTCTTCCATTTGCTTTAGCATCTCTACTCTGGAGAGAAAGGTCCAGTGTCTCATCTGATATCCATTTTGACCTTTTCCTTCTTTTTTTCTTCTTAATGACTTTTTGCTTTCTTCATGTAGGATGTTCTTGATGTCATCCCACAACTCTTGTGGTCTTCGGTGTTTAATGTTTAATGTATCAAATTTCTTCTTCAAATGATGTCAAATTCAGGTGGGATAAATTCAAGGTCATATTTTGGCTCATGTCAACTTGTTTTCATTTTCTTCATCTTCAGTCTGAATTTGCATATGAGTAATTGATGGTCTGTTCCACAATCTGCTCCTGGCCTTGTTTTGACTGATGATATGGAGCTTTTACATTGTCTCTTTCCACAGATGTAGTCAATTTGATTTCTATGTATTCCATCTAGTGAGGTCCATGTGTGTAGTTATCTCTTATGCTATCTAAAGAAGGTGTTTGAAATGAACAAATCATTGGTTTTGCAGAATTCTATCATGCAATCTCCAGCATCATTTCTATCACCAAGGCCATATTTTCCAACTACTGATCCTTCTTCTTTGCTCCTAACCTTTGTATTCCAATCACCAGTAATGATCAATACCTCTTGATTGCATTTTGATCAATTTCAGATTGAATAAGTTGGTAGAATTCTTCTATTTCTTGGAAGTGTGTTAAAGTTCCAAACTTGCAGACTCTTGACCCTTATCAGAATGATCTACCCAGGTCTAAGCCCAGACTTCATTTCGCTGTTGTTGGTAAGTGCCACCGAGTCAGTTTCCGAAGAGTGGCTGGTGACTTTGAGTTGCTGATCTGGCAGTCAGGAGCGAGCCACACCAGGACTCCATCTTAACTTTTGTTTATTTCCCTTTCAGCAGAAAAACCCTTGGACAACTTTAGGTACATCACAATGGAAACGTCAGGAGTCCTGATGTGGTGCTGTGGATTAATGCACTAGACTGCAAAACCTTTTGAACTGCAAGGTCAGGGGTTCAAGCTCACTAGCTGCTCCTTGGAAACCCTATTATAGGGTCATTATGGGTCAGAACCAACTTGAAAGCACTTGACAACAACATAGAACAAATGTTTCTAAGGCATGGTCTTGATATAAGATCCTCCTTATTAGAAATCCCCTTAGAAGCTCTTAGGAAAAGTTTTAAGACAATTGCCTTATTTCTGACCCATGTTGTTGTTGTTGTTAAGTGCTGTCAAGTTGGTTCCAACACATAGCAACCCAGTATAGGGTATCTGAGGAGCAGATGGTGAGCTTGAACCACCGACCTTGCAGTTTGAACAGTTTTGCAATCTGATGCATTAACCCACAGTGCCACACCAATTCTGACACTTAGCAACCTTATATACAACAGAATGAAACACTGCCTAGTCCTATATCAACCACACAACTGTTGCTATTTTTGAGCCCATTGTTTCAGCTACTGTGTCAACCATTCCCTCCTTGAAAACATGTCCAAAAGTATGTGAGATGAAGTTCTAACCCCTTTAGTGTTGCTTAAACTAACATATTCATTGTCCTACCTCTATCTTCCCTGATTTTGTATCTTCTGTACCTTTAATTCTTTATTTTTATTTATTTATTTTTAATGTTTTATTGTGAATTATGTGGTAGTTTACATGGGAGAACATTAGTTTTACATTCATTCTATCGTATATTGTTTCATTGCCATGGTTACAATCCTCTCCCTGCATCATCAACCAACCAAAGAGTATACCCTGTAAGCCTGCCGCCTGGGTCTCAGCACACAGGGTTCTTGCAGCTGCAATGCAAGGCAAGCCTCCTTCCAGAGGCTCAGTATGCTACTTGACCACCCTAGACCTCCCTCTCAGGAAGCTTTAAAAGGAAGTACCCAGTCTCACCTCAACTCTCCTGGAGGCTTGGCCAAGGGAGGTCTGGGTGTTTCTAAGGCTCTGGAAATTTCCACCAGGCCGGGGGTGCTTTCAGTAAGGGGCTGTATGCCCTCAGCAAGGGGTGTCTGGAGGATACCTTGGACTCTGGGCTGGGTCTCCCCTGAGCCCTCCACTGTGTGAGTCAGGTCTTTGAGAATAATCACAGGGCTCATAAAACTTAAATCTGCACTTAGTTACACTTACAACTCAGATATGACAGTATTAAATTCCTAAATTGGGCCAGTTTTCTAAAAGGTTAAGATTTGCATTATATATATAATGATGCACCTACCTCCCAGAATTACTGTGAAGACAAAGTTAGGCGCAGTGAGTGACATAGTACGTGCTCAGAAAATGTTGCATATTATTAATTGTTGTTGTTATGTGCCATGGAGTCGGTTCTGACTCATAGAGACCCTGCATAGGGTTTCCGAGGCTGTTAATCTTTATGGGAGCAGAACGCCTCATCTTTCTCCCGCGGAGCAGCTGGTAGTTTCGAACTGCTGACCTTGTGGTTCACAGCCCGATTCGTAACCACTACGCTACCAGAGCTAATACTTAATTAGAGCTGACTTCTAACTTGACCCTGGGCTAGTTTCCACACATTATTTCAATTACTCATTAATAGATAGAGTCCTTAACCTGGTGGCTATGAAGAAAGTAAGAGTGGGGAAAGAGTCCCTAAACTCTAACACTGGTATGGAAAATTAAGTGCTGTGTGTAATTTTCGAAAGAGCTCTGGCTGTGTAGTTATTAAAGCGTTCGACTGATAACCAGCCTTAAACAGTCCTAAGAGGAAACAGACACAGTCATCCAGATGAGAGAAACTGTCAGCATGCACAAAGTACAGTGGCCAGTGGAGTCTGTAGATTCACAGCCATGGCTTCCATACATGTTGTAGAGAACAAAGTAGATCATCCCAAGACCACAGGACCACAGAATTAGGAAAAGGACCATGATTGGGATGTACACACAATTACAAGATTAAACAAGGTACAAGATTGGTTCTTAGGTTTTGATTACCTGATTATGTGGCCCTCAGTTATAGTCTCCAGGACTCCAACTGTTAAATAAAATTAGATGACTTGCATCTGATTGATCCAGACAAGTACTTTGTGTGAGCACTTTTTGCATAAACGACTTTTTTGCTGTTACTGTTGTTAGGTTTATTTTCATTCGTCTAATTAATTTTTAAAATTCTTTTTCTTGAATCTTACTGGATTTCCTCTTTATCTGGAAGTTCTGCAACTACATTATTCCTTCTTTTCACTCCCTGGGTTTTGTTGTTAACTCTGGTTCCCCATTTTCATTCTTGTAGGTTTGTTTTACTTTACATCCATGGGTTGAGTTTTGAGTGATTGGTGGTGGTGGCGGTGGTGGCAGTTCCTACTCATCGTGACCCGTATAGGGTTTCCGAGGCTATAAGTCTTTAGGGGAGCAGAAAGCCTCATCGTTCTCCCATGGAATTGCTGGTAGTTTCAAACTGCTGGCCTTGAGGTTAGCAGCCCGACTTGTAACCATTATGCTACCAGAGCTCCTTCTCAGTGATATCTGTTGCTGTTGGTTCCCTTTAGTATGTTTCTGTAAGGTTGGTCTGTTTTATTGTTGTTTTCACAAATTCATTTAATTTGTTTATCTGGAAATGTCCTAATTTTGCCATTATATTTGAGTGACAATTTTTCTGGATATATAATTCTCGATTGGCCATGTTTTTCTTTCAGATCTTAGTCATATTAGTGTTTCTTTTTCTGCAGCTGCTCCTAGGATTCTTGTCTTCAGTTTTGGAAATTTTTATGATGTCTTGGTGATTTTATTTTGGGGGTCTATCCTCTTAGGAGTTCATTCAACTTCTTGAATGCATATCTTCTGGGTTTGTTTGTTTGTTTCTGTGATATTAGGGAAGTTTTCTCCCACAGCTCTTTGACAGTTTCCAGGATTACCATCCATATCTTTTCAGTGGATCTCCCATTTGTTGCAGATGGTCTGCTCAGCACCTCTGCTACCCTGCCATCTGAATAATCTCCTACTAATGACACTCTTTCTGAGGGCAAGCTACAATTCCCTGGGTTTGCCCAGCCTTGTCTAAGGATAGGTCCTACTCATACTCACTCACTGCCTTGGAGTTCATCCTGACACATGGGACAGAGTAGAGCTGATGCTTAGGGTTTCCATCGAAGCCACCTTAATGGTCAGCAAGCATTGAGAAAATAAAGAATTCAATCTGCTTCTGAATTTTTATATAGAGACTCAAAATGGAGTTTGGTTCCCATTGTAAACTGCACAGACCAATTGCTTTAGAATTTAAGTTCTAATGCAAAAGTAACCATTTTGAACCCACCAGTCGTTCTGAAGGTGAAAGATGCGGCAGTCCGATTACATAAAGATCTGTTGTTATTCTTAAATGCCATTGAGTGGGTGGAGACTCCGTGGTTTCTGGGGACCTGTTGCTAGGTTTGAACCTTGGCGGTTAGCAGTCCAGTGTTTACCCTACACCGTCACACCAGGACTCCGTAAAAATTTACAACTTTGGAAATCCTATGGGCCAGTTCTACTTATCGCTAAGATGTGTCTTCACAGGTAAATAATCACTTCACACTAGAATCTCCAAGTTTCACTTCCAAACTCTGGGCAAAGGCTCCCTCCCACCTTCCCTCCCTCCCTCTGAGATCCTTTCCTGCATTGGATACAGTGTGAGAAATCAGACTCAGGCTGGCTCTTTGGTCTCACAGGCGCTGCTAGAACTGCTAAGTGAAATTCCACTCAGCAGCACCAGCCTCCCTAGCCTGGGAGTTGCCGCCCTCTCCCAGCCGGTGTGCTGCGCCTTTAAGGCCCACAGGGGGCGTGATATCAGAGGCCCGACGGCTCTTGGAGAGGTAAGCACGGCAGCCAGGCTCGGAGCCTGGATTTGGAACAGGATCTACAGTGTGCTCGAATTCCCGTTTTTCTTCCTGGAGCTCTCGAACCACAAACCATGCGTGTCAAACACTGAGTGTACACTGAATCCTGCTCTGGAAAGGCGAGGCGCCGCCCAGCATTGGCCATGGGCAGTTTCCAGCTGGAAGACTTTGCGGCGGGCTGGATTGGAGGTGAGTGAGTTTAGGGACCCCCGCCCCCGGACCAGAGAGATACAGAGGGACTGGGCCACACCGTGCACTGACCAACTTAACACGCAAAGATCGGTGTTAGGAAGTTTTTAGCCCGGTGCGCTGTCACCACGCGCTCTGGCTTGCGCTCTGCCTTGCTGCAGGAAATTTTCCTGTACAGCGCTTCCTCTCTGGTGGTCGTCCTTGCTTGCAGCGGGAGCTAAACTTTGAGAACTTCACAGCCATTCACCGGAGCTTCCGATTTGCCCCAAAGTTAGGACCCATGAAACTTGATCTGATAATGATTAAACCGTCCGTCAGAGTCAACAGCCTGTGAAGCTTCCAGGAGCGCACACACCCTTTGATGACCGACTGCGCTCCTGAATTTGGGAGCGTGGCTCTCGAGGACTTGTGTTTAGGGGTGCCTCTTGGACTGTGGTCCTGGGTCCCTAGAAAACCCCCCGAGGGGAGGGAGCAGAGGGCATAGAGTTGGGAGTGGTCTCAGACTGTTAGCTGGGAGAAATCCCTTCAAGAGTCCACCTTCACCTTCCTTCGAGGCCCCCTTCAGGGCACTGTTGGCCTGAGCCTGGAATGAGTTTCCTTGGGAAAGAGTTACATCCATTTTCTTTCTTCTTTTTCTTTTTTTCCATACACCAATTTCTCTTTTCCCAGGTTCTCGGAGGGGGACCGGGGAAAGGTCATATATATATATATGACTTTCTGTTCTAGAAGAAATGATCATTCCTTTGACCCCATGCACGAGAGTCGTCAGAAAATTCGTAGCAAAATGTGCCCCTCTCCAAAGAAAAAAGATTAAAATATTGGGGTGCTAAGCAGAAGTTGCGTAGCGTAGTGGTTACGAATCGGGCTGCGAACCTTAAGGTCAGCGGTTCGAAACTACCAGCCGCTCCGCGGGAGAAAGATGAGGCTTTCTACTCCCGTAAAGATTTACACCCTCGGAAACCCTGTACAGGGTCGCTATGGGTCGGACCCGACTCGATGGCACTTAACAACAACAACAAGCAGAAGTTGAGTCCTGGTGTGGCGCTGTGGGTTAATGCGCCAGACTGCAAAGCCGTTTGAACTGCCAGGTTGGCGATTCAAGCTCACGAGCAGCTCCTCGGAAACCCTATACAGGGTCGCTATGGGTCGGAACCGACTCGACGGCACTTAACAACAACAACAAGCAGAAACTAAGGAGCTCTGGTAACGTAGTGGTTACGAATTGGGCTTCGAACTGCAAGGTCAGCAGTTCAAAACTACCAGCTGCTCCAAGGGAGAAAGATGAGGCTTTCTGCTCCCATAAAGATTTCCAGCCTGAGAAACCCTGTACAGGGTCTAAGAGTCAGAACTGACTCCACGGCACATAACCAACCAAAGCAGAAGCTACTGTTGGCTTGTTTGTCCCCCACTAAGTATTCTAGGCATGGAGATTTGCAAGGAAGGAGAAAAAAAAAAAAAGCCAGGAACCAGATAGGATGACAGACTCTTTTGGTACCCTATCGCAGTTAGCAGCAATCCACCCTCCCACCCCTCCCTTCTACCAGAGGCTGAACTCTCAAACATTTCAGGCAGAGTAGCCAAAACAACTTCAGAAGAACTTTCAAGTGGCCTGGCTTGAGAAATGTCATGGAGGATGGGATTAATTAGATGAGTTTAAAAGCCTGGAGCCCTGGGGATCTGTAGCATAAGCACTGGTCTGGTAACCACAAAGTCTGTGGTTCAAACCCACCAGCCACTCCTAGGAAACCCTAGACAGGGCCTCTGAGTCAGATCAGATTGGATGGCACTTTTACAACACAAACAATAAAGCCTGCATTCCCCAGTGATCACAGGATGGCCCTCCACAACTCACATGCAAGTGGCAGATTGTCCCTGATTCAGAGATTGTTTTTGCTTATCAATGTCAACACACCTTTTCACTCCCAGGAAGTGATGTATTAACGGCAAATATTTATTAGCTGCCAGGTGCTGTCTTAAGTGCTATGTTTTCTTCCTTAGAAAATGTTTATTCACTTCTTCCTGTTTTGTTTGCCCCCATAGACAATTGATTTGGACTTTGAAGAACATACAAGTGTTAAATAAATTTTATCAACTATCCTCAAGGAGCTCTGGTAGTGTAGTGGTTACGAATCAGGCTGCAAACTGCAAGATCAGCAGTTCGAAACTACCAGCTGTTCCGTGGAAGAAAGATGAGGCTTTCTGCTCCCGTAAAGATTTACAGCCTTGGAAACCCTGTACAGGGTCGCTATGAGTCGGAACCGACTCCAAGGCACATAACCAACCAACCAATCAATCCTCTTATAAACTTGTAAAGCTTTGAATCCCAGGGAAAGACAACTATGGCCCAAATAATTCTTCATTAATCATCCAAGATCTACTAATGAATAGTTAAGATGTTCACTAGTACTACTACTAATTGTTCCAGGATGTTGAATGTGTGTCAGATATACCCGTTTATCTCAAACTTAAATTATTTCTGTACAACCTTGATATTTTTTTGCTATATTCCTGAATTTTTTTTTTACTTAATAATTTTCTTTAAATTAACTTAAACTAACTCACTATGTTTTCTTAGTTTCAAACTGAGAAATTTTCAAATTAAGGAAAAAATATCCATAAAATCATGGCTTTGAGGTACTGATTATAGTTGTGCTAATATTTTTAAAAGTACACAACTAGTAAAATTAATAAACTATTTTACATAATATCATCTCAAAGCACACATATCCCCTGCTGGGATACTACATTATTTTATTTATCCTAAAATAATTTATAATAAGTGCTTGTTGTTGTTGTTAAGTGCCGCCAAGTTGGTTTGACACATAGCAACCCTATATAGGGTTTTCAAGGAGCAGCTGGTGAGCTTGAACCACCGACCTTGCAGTTCAAAAGGCTTTGCAGTCTGGCGCATTAACCCACAGAGCCACATGAGGACTCCATAATAAGTGCTTAGTAGATACCATTTGATTACATTATTACTTACATAACTGACTTAAATTCATTTTCTCCATGTCACAGAGCAATGTAGAGAATAAGTAGCTTGATTAATGCCATAAAGCTAGTAAACTCAGGTCTAATTTAATCTTGATTCCGGTGTTCTCCAAAGCACTTGCTCATAGCCTCTAGCCACTGAGCCCCTAATTTTAAGTTGTAGATTCAATACAAAGGAGCTCTGTAGCCTAGCCATTATGATTTGGGCTGCTAATCTCATGGTCAGCAGTTCAAAACTACCAGAAGTTCTGTGGGAGAAAGATGAGGTTTTCAGCTCCGGTAAAGATTTACAGCCTCAGAAACTCTATACAGAGTAACTGGAGCTCTGGTAGCGTAGTGGTTATGAATTGAGCTGCTAACCTCAAGGTCAGCAGATCAAAACTACCAGCCAGAATGCAGGAGAAAGATGAGGATTTCTGCTCCCATAAAGATTTACAGCCTTGGAAATCCTGTGCAGAGTTACTATGATTTAGAACCAACTCTATGGCACATAACTACCACCAATTATCTCTGATTCTACCTTTCATAAAAATACTAGTAAAAAGATGTTTTTATAAAAAATATTAATATTGATATACTGGAAGTAGAGTATACCACACAGTCTGCCAAGTTAGTTAGTCATGTCCTTCCCAAAATATTGCATCTCCTAAGGAGCCACTGGACCAATAAACAACATTCTTATCAATGGAGAAAAGATTGAAGTTGTCAAGGACTTCATTCTTCTTGGATCAACTATCAACACTCGTGGAAGCAGCAGTCAAGAGATCAGACGACATATTGCATTGGGCAAATCTGCTGCACAGGAACTTTTTAAAGTATTGAAGAGCAGAGATGTCAGCTTGAGGACTAAGGTGCGCCTGACCCAGGCCATGGTGTTTTCAATAGCCTCATATGGATGTGAAAGCTGGACAGTGAATAAGGAAGATCGTAGAAGAATTGATGCCTTTGAGTTGTGGTGTTGGAGGAGAATACTGAAAGTGCCATGGACTGCCAAAAGAACCAATAGATCTGTTTTGGAAGAAGTGCAGCCAGAGTGCTCCTTGGAGGCCAGGATGGCTAAACTTCGTCTCTCATACTTTGGACATATTGTCCGGAGGAAACAGTCGCTGGAGAAGGATGTCATGCTGGGTAAAGTGGAGGGTCAGAGAAAAAGAGGAAGACCCCTAACGAGATGGATTGGTCAGGTGGCATCATTGATGGACTCAAGTGTGGCAGCGGTAGTGAGGTTGGCCCAGGATCGGACATTGTTTCATTCTGCTGTGCATGGGGTCACTATGAGTCGGTTCCGACTCGATGGCATCTGACAACAAGGAGTCCTGGTGTGGTGCTGTGGGCTAATACGTCAGACTGCAAAGTCATCTGAACTGCAAGATCGGTGGTTCAAGCTCACCAGCTGCTCCTTGAAAACCCTATGGGTCCCTGTGGGTCAACAAGGAGTCGTGGTATGGCGCTATAGGCTAATGCGTTGGACTGCAAAGTCGGTTGAACCATAAAACCTGTGGTTCAAGCTCACCAGCCACTCCTTGAAACCCTATACAAGGTCACTATGGGTAAGCACCTACTGGATAGCATTTAACAATAGCAACATGGGTCAACAACAACAAAGTAAAAGAATAATCTGTCCATTACAAAGATATCCTTCTGTTGACAATCTATTCCTTTTGATAATCTTTCTTTTTGTGTAAATGGGTATTATGCATACCTTAAAATACCTTGAGGGTCTAGTATGGATTGAATTGTGTTCTCCCCCAAATATGTGTTGTAAAACCTAACTTTAATACCCATTTGAGAATAAAGATGTCTTTGTTATGCTAACGAAGCAATGTCCTTGTAGGTTCCTTTTATGCTATTCTTTAGTGTCATCAAGTAATTTCTGACTCATAGCAATCTTGTTTAGGGTTTCTGAGGAGCAGCTGATGAGTTTGAACCACTGCCCTTGCAGTTCAAACCAACCTTACAGTCCAATGCTAATCCTAGATCATCACACCAGGATTACATAAGTGCTCGCTATTATTAGTAATTTTTTTAACTTGATTGAGGTGCATTTTACAGATCGCAAAATGTATTCAAGTATACAATTCAATGATTTTTGGTAATTTTACAGAGTGGTAATAACCACTGCTATACATCAGTTTTTGAACACATTCACCCTCTTATAAAATTTCACATGATCAATTACATTGAATCCCTGTTCTCTCTTCCTGCTTCAGGATCTAATCTGCTTTCTGTCACTATTATAAATTCCCCTCTTCTGAACATTTTCTATAAATGGAATAATGAAACATATTATTCTGTGCCTGGTTATGTATATTGCCTTTTAAAGTTATTACAACAACCCCAGCAAGGTAGGTATTACCATTACATCCCCATTTTACAGAAGGGGAAATGGAGACACAGAGAAGTACTGTGACCTACCACAGGCTGCTATCTTTATTCATCTACAGCCTCTGACCAAGTGTTCTTCTTCCATCCACAGGTGCAGCCAGCGTCATTGTTGGACACCCTCTAGACACTGTCAAGGTACAGTAGCATACTTCCCATCCTCTTTTAGAACCAGGCGTGGAGTGAAAATGCCTCCTGGAATGTACCTACTGTTTCTTCAGCTTGGACAGGTTCTCTGCAGCCAGCCCTTGGAGATCGGGGTGCCAGGAGGCCTGGTTTGGATTGACCCTGCCTTCATTATTTGGTAGTGATTTTGTTTTTGTGAATGTTCAAGTTCTCACAGTCTGGTTGTTGTTATTGCTGTTAAATGCCATTGAGTTGGTTCATAACCACCTTGTTTAGAATTTCTGAGGCTGTAACTCTTAAAAAGAGCAGAAAGCCTCCTTCCGCAGAGTGGCTGGTGAGACTCAAATCATCAGCTTTGTGGTTCTCGGTCTAGTGCTTATCCTATAGAGCCACCACACTCACTTGTTCTACAGATGTACAAACTGAGGCACAGAGGTTTGAACTACGGACACGTAGTGGTGAGTGGAGCAGGTTTAGTCTCAACCTCCTGCGGCTGGCCTAATCTTCCCACTTCATATAGAGAGTGAGGTGCAATGTCCAGGGATCCCCATTGGAGCTGGGATGCAATAGTGGTGAGTCTTAACGTCCAAAAATGAATTTGACTCCCTGACAGGCCTACTTCACTGGCCAGTACCTTCTCCACATTTGGAGTCAAATGGATGTTTTCTGCATGAAAGAATGTAGTCAAAGACACATTTTTTTTTTTGAAGAAGCACATTATGACATTGCCGATGGCCTAGACCTCATTATAGAGTGCCTGCTTCAGGACAGGGGTTTGCAGGAGACTTAGAATCAGATGTAATCCTTGGTGTCCTCGAAGGCAACGAGGTTTTTGTTTGGTTGTCAGGCTAGGAAGACCCACAGGCTGTAGGTTTGAATCAGTTTTGCCATTCCCTGTTTGTATAGTCTTCTATTAAACAGAGTGATGCTGTAGGATCAGCAGTGGACTGTGAACCACTGGTTGGCAGTTCAAACCCACCAGCTGCTCCTTGGAAACCCTATACAGGGTCTCTATGAGTCAGAATCAATTCGACAGCATTTAACAACAACAACAAATCCCTACTTGTGGTGCTTTAGGGTAAGAACTGAACTGCTAACCATCAGTCATTCCTCAAAAACCCTATAAGGGGTCACTATGAGTAGGAACCAACTCCATAGTACTTAACAACAACAGCAATCCCTGCTTACAGAGTCAATATATGATTAAAGTATTGTCCGTGGTATGCAGTTGGCATTCAAAAATGGACGCTGCGGTTTTTATCAATGTCATTTAAAATTTTTCTTAGTTACCACATCATGTGAAAATATCTAGATGGATTTTAAACAGATTTGGAGAATCTGTTTAAAATCTCTAACTTAAATGGTATATATAAATTTCTTTGGGGAGAGGGATGAATGAGGACATCTGTTCATTCTCCAGAGTGACTTCTACCATGAACTGACAATGAAGTTGTTACCACCCTTGTAAAGCAGCACCCACGGGAGCTGTTGCCTTTCTAGAACCAAGCTGACTTGAAATAGGTGAGCCAATAGCAAATGATTGTGGGATTGAGTGTAAGAGATTTAACTGTAAAAAATCGAGACTATAAATTAGTTTCTTAGGCTGCCTTTAAAAATCACCACACTCTATGGCTTAAACAACACAAATGCATTCTTCCACAGTTCTAAAGGCCGGAAGTCTGAAATGAAGGTGTCAGCAGGGTTCGATCTTCCTGGAAGGCCTGAGGAAGGATCCACTCCATGTCTTCTAGTTTCTGGTGGTCACCCGCATACCTCAGCATTCCTTGGCTTGTGCCTACCCTCTAATCTCTACCTCTGTCTTCACAATGGCATTTCCCTGTATCTCAAGTATCCCCTTCCTTTCTCTTATAAAATATCAGTCATTGCATTCAGACCCACCCTAAATCCTGATCATTTCATCTTGAAACTTCATTGCATCTGCAAAGACCTTATTTCTCAACACGGACACATTCACAGGTTAGCACAGTTGTGATGGTGGGTGTGAATTGGAGGGTTAAGACTTGGATATATTATTTTGGCATACACAATTCAATCCATTACAAGAAATTCAAATCTTTGGCTTAGATGGCTTTACATATGATAAATGTCTTCTTTAAGTTCTTCTTACTTAAGAAGAAAAACCGAGACTAAACTGTATGAACAATGCTTTGCCTTTGGTGTGCCTTACCCAAGCCAATCCACAAGGCTCTTCTAAGAAAAGGAAGATTAGCACATGAGTATACAGTGACATTTTAACGAAAAGGTTTAAGTATTTGTGTATTTTTAATTTTTTTTCATTTTTGCTCTTTTCAGTTAGCTACCTAAGTAGAGTGTGTTCATCCTGGGTAAGAAATTCATAGTAATAGATAAGAAGGACCTAACAACAACAACTATAATATCAGGAATACTGCATCGGCTCCATAGGATAAACACTGGACTGCGAATCACAACGTTCGCAATTTGAGCCTGCCAGTGGCTCCTTCGGATAAAGATGAGGCTTTCTGCTGCCTCAAAGATTTAAAAAGCCTCACAAACCTTACATAGGGTTTCTATGAGTCAGAACCAACGTGACAGCATTTAGCAACAATAACAACTATACTATTAATATACTTTCCATCATCATCATTGTTGTTTTCAAATTAAGACTTCCCAGATCCTGTTTTGCCAAAACCTTTCTAGAAATCATGTGAACCAGAAGAACAAGTTTAATGGTGAAGATTCTGGCATTTGACGGGCCAGTGAAGGATATTTCTTAACTCCTTCACACCCTTTAAAGTGTCCTGGTGGTGCAGAGGGTTAGGAATTAGGCTGCTAACTGCAAAGTCAGCAATTCAAATCCACCAGCCAATCCGTGGGAGAAAGATGAGGCTTTCTGCTCCCATGAAGATTCACAGTCTTAGAATCCACAAAGGCAGTTCTACTCTGACCTGTAGGGTGGATATGAGTTGGAATCAACTGGATGAAGTAGGTTTGGGATGGGTTCACACCCATTGCTGTCAAGTTACTCTGACTCATGGAGACCCCAGATATGTCAGAATAGAACTCCACTCAGTGACTGACTTGTTGGAAACAGATGATCAGGCCTTTTTTCTCAGGTACCTTGAACCTCTGTCCAATCTTGGATTATCAGTTGAATGTGTTACATGATCTCTCTTTCCCTCATATGACAAATACATACTGGATGCCTTCTCTGTGGCAAACACAGTGTATACAAAAATGGCATGTGGACCATGTCTGACCTCCTCCAGCTTGACAAGGGAGAACAAGGAGAATCACCAGTCCAAGGCAGATTCTGATGAGGCAGGAATCAGAAATGCCTCCACTTCTTTTAAACCCTATTCTGACACTAACCTTCCCTCCCACAAGGCACTCTCCTTCTCCATTGGATTCCATAATCCTTTACAATGACCCTGCAGCACTCACAAACAATACTCATGATTATGGGGTTTATTAGGGAAGTGAACAGGATCAGAAACAACTCAGGATGCTGCAGTTCTTGGCTCAGGAGTGCCACTTCTCAACAGTACTGTAGGCATGCCCCTCTTGCCCTTGATGTCTCATCCTGCCTTCAGCCTCATATCCACATGGCCCTACGGCCTCTGTCTTGCTCAGGCAAGTGATACAAAGCTCCTTTAGCACTACCAATAAATACACAAAGGGCACTCTCAGCTTTACTCACTCCATGGGCTAGAAGCCCACTATTGTCTCAGGCTCTGCAAATTGTTGCCACCCATGCTTCTCCATGCAGGGAGGCAAAGGACACACATCACTCATGGACCTTCTTTCTTGATGGTCTTAAGATCCTCATTCCTGCTTCTGAGATGGTTCATTTAAAACCCAGTGAAATGACAAAACCAGTCAATCTCCACGTTAGAGTCTTGCACACCCTGTTTGCATGTTGTTGTTAAGTGCTGTTGAGTCGGTTCTGACTCACAGCGACCCTGTATAAGGTTTCCAAGGAGTGGTTGGTGAGCTTGAACTGCTGACCTTTAACTTCAAAATAACCTTGCAGTCCAACACATTAACCCACAGTGCCACATCGGGATTTCCGCCCCCTCCCAGTTGTTTGGTGGGAGTTATGAGTATTATTGAAAGTACCACAGACTGCCAAAAGAACAAACAGATCTGCGTTGGGAGAAGTTCACCCAGAATGCTCCTTGGAAGGCAGACTTCATCTCTCATACTTATTATCAGGAGGGATAAACCTGTCTCTGGAGAAGAGTATCATGTTTGTAAAGTGGAGGGTAAGAGAAAAACAGGAAGACCCCCAAGGAGATGGATTGGCACAGTGGCAGCAACAATGGGCTCAGGGGTAGCAATGATTGTGAGGTTGGCCCAGAACCAGGCAGTGTTTCATTCTGTTGTGCACAGGGTCACTATGAGTCAGTACTAACTCAATGTCACCTAACAACAACAATGAAGATTATGGAAAGAATAGCCATATCAAGTCAATTCACTGTACCACAGTGGAATGCAAAGGAGTCTGTGGTGGACAGTTTATGGGCCTTACAGCTAGTGTTTCTAACAAAGGCAGTCTTCTCTCACACCTAACCTGGGTGGGGTGGGAGTGATGGTTGGAGGCTAGCTCCATCCTGTGGTTTCAGCAGGACCTCCCCTTCCCCTGTGCACAAGAAGTCTGGCCATCTTGGGTCTGGCCACACCTCCATCTGAGAAGACCAAAGCTCTTTTCCTTCTCTCTGCCTCCTGAGTCCCCGGAGAGGAACCCCTCCAGGCATAAAATCTAGACTCTATTAATTTTGAGAGCTTCCCTGCTGGAGGCACTGGCCTGGTGATGTCAGTTTATAAGTGGCTCAGGGCCCCTGGTTCCCAGTTCACTAAGGAAGGTGAGAACCAGTGCTGCAGAGTCAGAATAACCTGGCTCACCACTTACACTTCTATGCCATAGGGTCCAGCACTTAACATCCCTGAACCTCGGTTTCCTCATCTTTAAGATGGCTAAGTAGCTTACTTAGCGAGGCTGCTGTAAATATTGTTCACTTGGCATCTTCAAGCACTGGGGATAGACCAGTGTTCTTACCCTGATAAACAGACTCTTCAAGTTGGGAGGAAACAGATGAGTGACTTATCTGAGGTGTCGGGGCACTGGCGTGGAAAAGACAAGTTAGAAAGACATTGGACTTGGACTGCAGACTCCAGGTCTAAGGCTCCTCCCATGCCCTTAGCTCCACCCCTTTCAGAGGTGGAAGGAGCCAGCCATTAGGTTCCGCAGCTGCTCAGTGAGAATCCAATAAGAATTCTCTCCTGGCTTCTGGCATAGCTGCTGCATTTATGGGTTTATGTCTGATGCATATTGGTGGGTCAGTGGTAGAATTCTTGCCATTTATGTGGAAGACCTGTGTTTGATGCCTGGCAAATGTATCTCCCGTGTAACCACCACCCATCTATCATTGGTGATTTGTATGCTGCTGTGACGCTGAAGAAATTTCAGCAGAACTTCCAAATTAAGACAGACTAGGAAGAAATGTCTGGCTTACTTTTGAAATCAGCTAATGAAAACCCTAGGGACCACAATGATCTGACCCATAAAGATCATGAAGGAGGATGCAGGACCAGGAACTGTTTCAATCTGTTGTGCATGGGGTTGCCATGAGTCAGGAGTCAACTCAATGGCAGCTGGCAACAACAACAACAAAGCTTGATTCAGCATGGCCAGGGTTTCTAATCAGGGCTCAGTTACCTTTGGACCAGCTAGATTGGACTGCAATGTACTGGCTTTGTGGCGTGTCTATCCCTTCTCATGACCTCCCCAATGGGACTGCCTTAGTCCAGCATGATTCCTTCCATGTCAGGTTGCCTGCTAGCTGTCCAATCTAGCCTCAGACTTGTGTATTGGTCCAGATCAGTTAGGTCTTGCCTGTTCTATTAGCTTACTGGGGACGATGGTTTGAAGCAGCATTGATCTCCAGCCACCTCTCTCATTCTGCTCCTGGGCAGTCATCCTTCATTTGTGGAGAGAAAATCTTTCATTTGTGAAATTCAGTGAGGTAAGTTATGTGAGACATCCAGTGTTTTCCCAAGGATGCAGTAGGTGCATACTAAATGCCAGCTATAGCTCTGATTGGGAGCCCTATTTTAAAATTTTTTTTTAAAAAATGAACAATAACAAAGCCCTACTCCTGTTGAATGACTGAAACTCAGGGACTCCATGTGCCATCGGGTTTTCTTGGTTGCAGTCTTTATGGAAGCAGACCACCAGGACTCTTTTCAGCAGTGTCCATGGTGGGTTCGAACTGTGAACATTTCAGTTAGTATTCAAGTGCAAACTGTTTGCACTTTTATAGTATGCCCCGATAGGCCTGGACTTTGTTGCTGGCATGAGTGCCAGTGCCCCCACCCCCACCTCAGGCCCTCAGGATAGCTGAGTGACCTTAGCTCTGTTGCTAAGAAACTTAGTCTGTGATCTGGGCTTTGTCCTGCATTAAGTTCCTATACTTCTTGAGGATGGCTGACTCACCCTTGACTGTCTCCCTTGATCTCACTGGGTGATAAGGTCCATGAGGACAGGGACATTGGTGTGCTCACTGCTGGATGTTGAGACTGAAACAGTGGTAGCTGTAAATGGTTCATGTGTGCAACTACTAACCCAGAGATTGGTAGTGCCAGTCTACCCAGAGATGCCTTGGAAGACAGGTCCTGATGGTCTACATTCAAAACTCAGCTGCTTGGAAACCTTGGGGAACTCGGTTCTACTATGATACATATAGGACCTTCCACGAGTCAGAGTCGACTCGGCGGCAACTCTTTGGTCCCAATTCCTGCTTTCAGTTCTTTTGGGTATATACCTAGGAATGGGTTTACTGTGTCATATGGTTAGTTTTAAGGTGTCCTTGGGGTGTGGCTGTTAAACACTCAGCTGCTAAATGAAAGATCACTGGTTTGTGCCCACCAGTGGCTTTGAAGATGAAAACACCTGGTGATCTATTCTCATAAAGATTTCAGCCTAAGGAAACCCTATGGAGCATTTCTACGCTGTCCCGAATGTCATTATGAGTTGGCATCAACTCAACAGCACACAACAACTACATGGTAATTTTTATTAAAGTTTTTGAGTAACTGCCAGACTGTTTTCCACTGCACCATTTGACCTTCCCAGCAGCAATACACCAGGGTTCCAGTTCCTCCAATTCTCTCCAGCACTCATCAATTTCCATTTACAAAAAGTAATACCAGTTCTAGTGAGTATGCAGTAGTATCTCACTTACGGTTCTGAGTTGCATTTTTTAATGACTAGTGATGTTAATGAACTACACATCGTAAAAGAAGGTGCACCCCTGAGGAGGTATGTTAGGCAGTTTTGTGGACTTAGTTGGACCACCTGTGCCTATCAACTTCTGTCCCCTGTCACCAAAGTCAGTCTCCAGTCCTTGCTCAGCCAGGGGGTGTGCTAGACTCTGGAGATTAAAGAGAGGTAGACAGATGGCCCTGCCCATGTGGAGGAACCCCACAAACACTCTAAGTCAACAGACAAACGAATAACACAACTGTAGCATTTAACCCAGACCCAAAAGTAAGTGAGAGCTGGAGGGAGGTAGAGTCTTCCAGGGGGAGGCGACTACAGGTGCACAGATTTGGAGGCAGGAAAGAATTGGCACTCCAGGATTTCAGAGTGCACCTTGTGGCTGGCACAGAGGGTGAGAGAGGAAATGGCAGGTGGAGTGAGGGGCAGACTGGAGCTCTGGACTCTGACAAAGAGTTGCAGTCTGAGTTCAATACTTAGCCATTGAAGGCCTTTAAATAGAAGTGATGTGATAGGTTTCATGTCTGGGAAAATGCAGGCTGACTTGTGTCAACACAATGTGCAGAGAGTAAAGAGATCACAGCAGGTGTCCAGGTGAGCAATGGTGTTGCCAGGGCCAAGGTGGTGGGGGTGGGGAGGAGTGAGCATGGAGCAGGGAGGGCAGAGAGAGGAACAGCAGATAGAGTCCAGCTATGGTTGCCCTTATTCTAGTTATGGCTTAACTTTTTGTACTTGAGAGGTTTCCATATCCTCAAACAATCACTCCCCCAACCCCAACTATCCTTTATTCTTCTCTCAGATAAAGAGGGCTTCTGCCACATCTGTGAATGGGTCATTAGAGGGATGCTGGGCATATACCTGGGATGTTAGGCATGTATATGCATTCTACACAGGCCTCCTTACTGGCTGTGGGACCTTCATAGGACCTCCCCCTCTCTGGGCCCCAGAGCCTGAATGACCCTCAGAGCTCGGTGTCTTTTAGGACAGTGCAGGTGCAAATGGTCTTGACATACCCTCTCCACTCTTGCCTTTCTCCACAGACTCGCCTGCAGGCCGGTGTGGGCTATGGGAACATGCTCAGCTGCATTCGCATGGTGTACAGGAGGGAAAGTGTAAGTGTCCTTTGGGTGGGCACCAGAGACTGTCATCGTGTCCAGGCCTGATCGGGGCCACAGTCCTCCACACCGGTGCATCAGTGGGAAGCTCATTCCTCCCCTCTTTGCACCTTTTTCTGTTCATCTCACAACATCCCTCCAATAGGAGGTGCTGCCTGAACTACCCCATCACCTAGTGGGATGTTATTGAGGGTAGAAATGGTTTTATGCAACCTCTCTGGCAAAGTTCTGAGAAATTTAAAACTACAGTGTGGAAAAGTCCTGCAAAAACACGATGACCTGTCTGTTTTTCAAAACAAAATGAGTGTCTAGGTAAACCATGTTCTCAAAGGGTTCCTTTGATCCAGGTGGGCAGGAGGGAGCCAGCACTTCCCATCCTATTTGCCGGCTGGCCTGGACAGCAGGCTTCTCCACAGGTAGCCAGGAAATTCAAGGCTCCTTTTCTCAAAGGGCAAATAAATGCAACAGTATTTTGCAGGAGCCCTTATAGTGCTGTAGCTTGTCAGTTCAAACCCACCAGCCACTCCGCAAGAGAAAAATGAGACTTTCTGCTCCCATGAGGTTGCTGTGAATCTGAACCTGCTCGATGGCAGTGGCTTTGGTATTTAGTTTTGGTCTGGTGGGGTGGGTATAAGCAGTTAATATGCTTAGATGCTAACCCAAAGGTTTCAGTCTACGCAGAGGCAACTTGAAGAAAGGTCTAGTGATCTGCTTCTCAAAACTCAGACTTTGAAGACCCTACTGAGCACAATTCTCCTCTGACACACATAGGACTTCAGTAGTAATCAATTTAACAGCAATAGGTTATAGGTTTATTTATCAGAAGATATAACAGGTAGGTCCCTTTCTTGAGAATTAGCATGTGCTTTAGGAAGACTTTCTAAGGCCCCTCTTTTTGGGAATTATAAATAATTGTTAAAATTTCAAATGAAATGACCTGCTGATTTTAATTAACGTCTGGGTGTCAGACTTATGGCAGATGGCTCTTTCTTGAACCACTGGAAATGTGGCCCCATGATTGGCTTTGTCTCTACAGATTCCATTGTAAAAAGGGCCTCAAAGCTCAGAAGCCTCCTGCCTGGACCTAGAGTGTCTTGCTCGGTGTGTGGTTTTTATTCTCTTAGTCGCCTGCTTTCAAATCAAAGACGAGTGCTGCAAACTGAGGACTTGCTGTTCTGTGGAAATACTCAGTCCCCTTTTCTCATTTTTGGCGCCCATCACCAGCAGTGTGTGCCAGCCACACCCCAGATTCAGGCTTCCTGTGGGGGCTGTGGCACTTCTCAGAGACACAGCGGCTCAAGGCTAGGCCATGCCCCATGAAGCCTAGTATGCATGTGTGTGTGGTACCTGGTCCAGGTAGCAGGGTCACAACCCACGAAGGTCAAGATTTGTACAGTCTGGGTGTGTACAATGACTGGTGCAGGGAACAAATTGTGTGTGCTGTCCTGAACTCCCCCAAGGGTCTGTGGAATTTTCCAGTTTTTAGTATGCCTACAATGGTCACTGAGAAGGCCATACGAACTGGACCATAACCCAGCCTCCAACATCCTATGTGCATTAAACTCTTCCTCCTGACCTTCCAGAGCTCCACTGTCTAGCTACTTTAGTCAAGAGATACCCAAACTTACAGGCTCCCACTCGCAGGCTATATCAGGTCCCCCCTTGGGGGACTGTGATACCGTCTTCCCACTTCCTCACTACAGACTTATCAATTGTAATGCCAATTGTATTATGACTGATTACCTGTCAGTTTGTGTGTCCCATCCCCCGCCTTCATCCCCCACCCCTAAAACACCACCCCCTAGGCTGTGAACTCAGTGAAGTTTGTTAGTATTGTTGTTAAGTGCTGTCAAGTCAGTTCCAACTCATAGAGAACCCTATATAGGATTTCTGAGGAGAGGCTGCTGGATTGGAACCACTGACTTTGCAGTTCAAACTGACATTGCAGTCAAGTGTTTATCCTACAGCGCCACACCAGACCCTTCATTTTAGTTTCTCAGGGTCTGCCACATAGCAGGTGCCAAGAAAATGTTTTTGTTTGAGAGACAAATGAGGAAGGGGTATGAGGGGCTTGACTGTCTGCCAAGAGCACTGCAGGTAGAGTGGCAGGTCAGGTTCCAGGCGTGATTAAAACATCACTTGGGTACCACCAAGCAGGGATGAAAACACCACTCACTCAGGAGCTGGTTTCTCCAAGGAGAAAGCACCCTTCCACTGAGTCCAGAGCAGCCTGACACATGACCAGGATGCCCGTGATGAAGTGCTTACCTTGCTGGAAGGCTGGCAGTTCAAACCCGCCCAAAGATACCTGGGAAGGGAGACTTGGCAATATGCTTCCAAAAGGTCACAGCCTTGTAAAACCTTACAGAGACATTTTATTCTGACACACTTGAGGTCGCCATGAGTCCTGATGGACTTGATGGCTACTAGCAACAATAGTTGGCTTCCAACAGTAAGACTGTATTCTCTCACAGTTTTGGAGGTTAGAATCCAAGGTCAAGGTATCAGCCGGTAGGGCTGCACTTTCTCTGAAGGCTCTAAAGGAGGATTCTTCCTTGTCCTTCCTAGCAGGAGTCGCAGAACCTTGGATTCCTTGCCTTGAGGCTGCATCACTTCAATCTTGCCTCCATCTTCACGTGATCATCTTCCCTATGAGCATATCTGTGTCATTGATCTCTCTCTCCTTATAAGGACACCAGTTATTGGTTTAGGGCCCATCCTCATCCAATATGACTTCCTCTTAACTTGGTTACATCTGCAATGACCCTGTTTCCAGATAAACTCAAATTCACAGCTATGGAGGGGCAGGATTTTAACATGTCATTTCCGGGGCATGTTTCAACCCACAACAAATTCATACCCTTCCCTCTTTCTAATATCCTCATTGACACATTGGTTTCTATATTCTGGCATGTCCCCCCACCACGCTGTAGCCTCCACAAGCAGGGTCTTGGCTAGGAGCCCTGGAGGAGGGTGACAGGCAACAAGAGAGCCCTCGCTTGGCCTGCAGACAGAGACACATCCCATGATTGTAGTAGCCTTGGACCCTCATGCTTCTTCCTGTTTGTTTCCCACAGGTGTTTGGCTTCTTCAAGGGCATGTCCTTCCCCCTTGCCAGCATTGCTGTCTACAATGCAGTAGTGTTTGGGGTCTTCAGTAACACTCAGCGGTTCCTCAGCCAACACCGCTGCAGAGAGCTGGAGACCAGCCCGCCCCGAACCCTGTCTGACCTGCTCCTGGCCAGCATGGTAGCCGGTGTGGTCTCAGTCGGACTGGGTGGGCCCGTGGACCTTATCAAGATCCGGCTGCAGATGCAAACACAGCCCTTTCAAGAAGGTAAGAGGTCAAGAGAAGATTGGCCTAGGGTCTGGGGGCCTCTCCTGGTTCGCCAGATCTGGGATATGGTGCTACCATCCTTTTTATTGAGCATCTATGTTGTCAGTTTTTAATGATCATTATTTCACCATCAGTTTGGTATTTATTATGTGCCAGGCATTCTGCTAAGAGCTCTGCATATGTTCTCTTAATTAATCTTCATAATAATTCTGTGAGGTTTCTACCATTACTGTCTTTATTCTACATATGAGAAAACTAAGGCCCTCAGGAATAAAGTTATTTTACTCAAGGACGCACTACTCATGGCTGATGAGACAGGCTCAGCTACATAATCCGTGAAGTAATAACACAAAGTACATACACAAGGGCCCCGTGTTCAAAAGCTATTAAGAATTAACACTGGGAGGAAGCAGGATAAGTGATATTACATTATGAGTACTGTGTATTAATTGTTGAATTGTTGAATAGAAAAATGATTTACTCCATAAACCTTCACCCAGTGCACAATAAAGAGTTAAACAAATAAATAAATTTAGAATGGCAACAGCAGCACCTTAAGCCAAGCATGGGGCCACAGGCATCATTCCATGGAATTCATGGGGACTCAAACCCACATATGTCTTAGTCCACAGGGACAGGAAGGGGGTCCGCTCTTCTCCTCACCCTCCCTGGCATCCCAATTAGAGCTTCATTTGTTGGTATGAGATGGACCTGCTCCTACACGGTCAGCTAGGTCTTGTTTTCTACTGTCTGGGAAAGCGTCTTCCATGGCTTTGATAAAGAGGATGGAAAGAATGGGAAGGTACTGGCTGTACAATGAAGACAGACAACTCTAGAGGAAGGGAGTCTGAGCAGACACATTCAGTTCATGGGGGTTTCACTGAGGGTCACCCATCCTATCTCATCTGGGTCATGATACCTGGGGCATGGCCCACCTGGGAAGTCTGCATTTATCTTTTTAAGGCTTTGACAAACTCTCTGAACAGTGAAGCATGGGACCCGGTGCCCTTCTCTGCCCCACTCCCCAACCCTCTTGCTGCCATGACAGCATCTCAAGATGAGCATGATTTCCTGCTCCTGCTCCTGCATTGTACTGACACAAGAGCAGAAATGCTGGACACAAACATACCAACAACCATGAAGATCACACAGGATCAGGGAAGGCTTCATTCTGATATACATAAAATCACTGTGAGTTGAACCTACTCTACGGCCATAACAACAACTCCTTTACTAGAACCTGCCCTCAGGCTATCAGCTCATCATTGGTGCCAGAGGAAAACTGGTTCTCTTCAATAAACCCCTTGAATAAGCAACAGAAAATGAATGCGTTTCCTCTGTCCTTCCCCAGACTGCCAGGAAATGGGCCTTTGGTGAACACAGAGAAAGTTCTTAGTGAAGGAGGAAGAGAGGTTTCTACAGGCAAGCATTTCTCAGGGCTGCAAAATTCAAGCCATTAGAGCTCCTTGTCCCAGAGGCTGAGCTGTGGGAACAAAGACAGTGTATCTGAGTGATAGGAGGGTAGGAACTCAGACTGTTGGGTTAAGCATTGAGTTGCTGTTGACCAAAAGATCAACTGTTTGAACCCACCAGCTGCTCTATGGGAGAAAGATGAGGCTGCCTGCTTCCATAAGCTTTACAGTCTCAGAAACCTTAGGGAGCAGTTCCGCCCTGTCTTATAGTGTTGCTGTGAGTCAGAATGAACACACTGGTTTTGAGTTGGGTTCATTATGTGACAGGCACTGAGCTAAGTAAGACCTGTGCATGCATTTCATCTTTCCAACAATTTGATTCCTAGACATTTATTGAAAGGGAGCCCAAGGTCACTGCCCTAGTGGCAGGTAGACTGAGATTTGGACTCAGGTAGTGTGACACAGAGCCTGAAGGTACTGCTTCTGCCCCAGATATTGCAGAAACTGTGACTGTGACAACTTTGGTAATATTGGACCACCTAGGCTTTAGCACAAAACTGTCATTTATGGAAGCACTTTCATCCTGATACTTTCTTTTTTAAAAAAAGAGGAATGAGAGGAGAATGATATACAAGCAGGTCTCCAAAATGTCATTCAAAATGGACGTGACTCCTGTGTTCCAAGGACTGGGTCTGAAATCTATTTGTTCCTGAGGAACCCTCTAGACCAAAGATAGAAAACTCAAATGCTCATGGGGACCAGGGAGGTAATATAAGTGAACAGAGGTGCCTGGAAAGTGCCCCCTTTCTCATGGTTCTGAGTTTGTTTCTTCTCTTTTGATTGGAATGTGGACATAGTTCACTTTCTGCATAGCTCTGCTATTAGAAAAGCAGCAGGACTCAGTCCATGCATCAGCTTTGGTATCTGGGAGACAAGAGCAGTGGTGGAGACTGTGGCAGACGCTGCCCTATCCAAGGTGGCCACAGCTCCACTCTAGTTACTGTCTAAACCTTTTTTTCCCTAAAGTTTTTATTGTGAATTGAATGATAGTTTCATGGGAGAACATCAGTTTTAACTTCTCATTTCATTGTCATAATTACTATCTCCTCGGTGCATCATCATTCAATAGTATTTGCTTCTATTCCCTCTGTTTTGTTTTATTTTATTTTTTTTGTGGGGGAGGGGGAAGTGTACACAAAAACACTCAGGAAGATTTAATAATTTAAACAACCAAAGAGCACATTCTGTAAGCCTGCCTCCTGGCTGCCAGCACTCAGTCTTTCCATGAGTCTAGAGTCCTCAGCTGCTCTATGTCTCCAGTGCCATCATCTCTGCCTCCATCTCTGGTGTCACTGCTTCTCTGGTTAGGGTCCCACATTCAGCTCGTGCTCTTCTTCCTTGATGGTCCTAGGGGCCTCTGTTCTTGGAATGTAAGACTAGCTACTCCCCCCCTTTTTGTTACAAAACTTCTACCTTTACAGTTGTGACAGTCACAATTAGTCATGGTAACAATTAATTACTATTGAATCAAAAGAATCTTATCCCATCTCTTTTCACCAGACCCATCTAGGCAGATGAAAGCTATTCAGTGGAGACTCTACCTTGTCCCACAAACTTTTAAACTAAACTCCCTCTTGAGAACTTATAAGCCAGTCACTTTATGCATTTATCGCCACCTCATTTTAGGCAGCCGATGTCTACGTTGCCCATCCCTATCAACCTTATCTACAGAGGAGATATAGGATTGATACTTGATGTGAAGACTTCTTGGCTCTCAGTTGGTATTTTTAACTACTGCATCCCTAAGTATAGGTCAAGTCCATCAAATTGTAGCAATTTACATTTGTTTCCTTTATCAAAAATTGTTTTATTATCTTCCTCTAGTTGAGTTTGGATTATCAAGCCATCGAGGCTAGGTCAGGTGGGTACTGTCTGCAAGTTTGGGCATTCTTGTGTGTCTCCTCTCACTTCATATCAGCTGGATGCTTCATTCTCAGCCAAAGAGTTAGACTTTTCTGTGAGAACTTTTCACTGGAAATAGCCAAGTAAATTAATTAAAACAAAAACAAACAAACAAAACACTGTGCAGCCCCAAGTTGTGTGGCCTGGACAGACTGTGGCAGGTCTGAGTGCAAGCTGTGGGCAGCAGTTCTGCTTGAGATGAGGGTTTCCAGGCAGCCTTGGCAGGACCTATGTTTTTTCTCATGACTTGTGAATTTGCCACAGAATTGTCAGGTCATTTCCTGGATTGTGACCATGAAAGTGAGGACTGCACCCACATTCTAAAGCAGAGCACTGGAAACCTTCGACTTCTCTGCTTCGAGGCATATGACAAATTGAAAAGAGATCCCAGCTCCTTTGGTTAGGTGACTTGAAAATCTAGAGGCAGAAGATTGTCCATAGTTGTGATCTACTGAGATGTTTCTTTAAGTGATGCAAAGGTGGAAGCACTCATTTGTCTATGCCAAGAAATTTGGAAGGCAACTACTTAGCCAACCAGCTGGATGAGATTTACGTTTGTGATTATTCCAAAGAAAGGTGATTCAACAGAATGTAGAGATTATTGAACAATATTGTGACTATCACATGAAAGTAAAATCATGCTGCAGATCATTTTTAAATGTTTGTAGCGGTCCAACAGGGAACTGTTAGAAATTCAAGTCACAGTCAGAAGAAAACCTAGAAAATCATTGCTGATGTCAGATGGATGTTGGCTGAAAACAGAGAGAGTACCAGAATGATGTTTACTTGTGTTATATTGACTGTGCAAAGACCGTGTGGATCATAGAAAATGGTTGTGAAGAATGGGAATTCTTAATTTTGCTGATGCAGAACCTCTTCATAGACCAAAAGGCAGTTGTTTGAACAGTACAAGGGGATAATTCACCCTTTAAAATAAGGAACAGCATGTATCAAGGCTGTATTCTTTTTTCCCCCTTTTCTTTTAACTTTCTATAGAGAACTCAGAGTACAGTTTTATTCAGAGCAAAGAAAAAACAAACAACTTTTGATCACACTAGGAGAAACTCAGCTCTAGGTCTACGATCTGTACTACACATGCAATGAAGACAATATTCTGCCAATAATTGCTTAGTTTGTCTCCTGTTTGTCTGATATTAACAATTGTAAACACAGCAGTGCAACTAGTATTTGGAATAATCCTTATAGTGTTACAGTGTCCAGCACAAAACATTTCACTTCTCTTCACACCACTGGTTCTCTTTGGCTTCCTCCTCTTCAATAAAGTCGTTTTTGATATTGAAGGTCTTATGAATCTCTTCAGGAGTTTTCCCCTTGATCATATTGGCAATAGTCTACCAAGTAACAGCAAGCAAACATCTAAGTAGTTTGCAGCCAGAATAAATTCAAAAAGCGTTCCTTGGGCAGCTTTTTGAATTTATTCTTGGTCTTAAACAGGGACATCTTCTGTTCTTTTTTCTTTGTTCTCATCCAGGAGGAGGAGGATTATCCGTGTGATGGGTGTCCCACTGAATGTCCTTTTTTTATGTTGCTGCAGTAACATTTGATAAAGGAACTGGGTCTTCATCTCCTTCATCATTAGTTCCCAAATCTTCCAACATGGTCTTG